TTTAATCATTTGTTCTTATTATTACAGAAGAAATGGGCTTTTAAATATCATTTCTTAAGATTTCAGTCATTTGGAAGATATTGGTCCTCCTGCCTCTAGGTTCCCAAACATGCTGGAGAAACCCCACTTCTACTTGGTCAACAGGCTTCTTTTTTTTTTAATTAAGAGATTTTTTTTATTTATTAAAAGTTTCCACCTCTTCCCATTTCCCTCCCCCTCTCCCCACTCCCCCTCCACCCTCCCTCTCCAGTCGTAAGAGAAGTCAGGGTACCCTGCCCTGTGGGAAGTCCAAGGCCTTCCCTTCTCCATCCAAGTCTAGGAAGGTGTGCATCCAAACAGACTAGGCTCCCACAAAGCCAGTACATGAAATAGAATCAAAACCCAGTGTCATTGTCCTTGGCTTTTCAGTCAGCCCCCATTGTCAGCCACATTCAGAGAGTCCAGTCTGATCACATGCTTGTTCAGTCCCAGTCCAGCTGGCCTTGGTGAGCTCCCATTAGATCAGTCCCTCCGTCTGTGGGTGGATTCACCCCTTGTGGTCCTGACTTCCTTGATCATCTTCTTCTCCATCCTTCTGCTCTTCATCTGGACCTTGGGAGCTCAGTCCAGTGCTCCAATGTGGGTCTCTGTCTCTACCTCCATCCATCGCAGAATGAAGGTTTTATGGTGATATTCTAGATATTCATCAGTGTGGCTATGGGAGAAGGCCAGTTCAGGTACCCTCTCCTCTGCTGCCCAAGAACCTAGGGGGGGGGACATCCCCTTGGACACCTGGGAACCCCTCTAGAGCCAAGTCTCTTGCCAACCCTAAATTAGCTCCCTTACCTAAGCAGTGAGATACACTGGGTGTAGTGATTGTTCTCGCCACGGACGAGCAGACGGTCAGTTGTAGGAACTCAGATCTGAGAAGTGACGGGAGGGACCAAGTCAATGTTCTGTGTTTTCTATGTCACCTTTCTCCTCCACTGTCCAACAAAGTCATTCTGGAAGTGTTCGGCTTCATCTTGTCCACTAGTATGTGACCAAAATTCTTTCTTGCACTATATGAAGCAAAGGAAGAGATGATATCACAGGTTGAGAGAAGCAGAGGGAGAAGTGGGAGGAGATGGGAGCAGGGAGAGAGAAACGCGAAAATGAGGTTGACGCTTGAATCCCTGGCACATTTCTAGTAACAGTACGAAACAGTTAAAGTTTTAGAAGTGTTTGTTCCAAGAATCATAGTAAATCAATTGTAGCTTTGCACAGTGTGTGTGTCCATGTATACTTCATATGGTATTAGCCCCTTTCTCCTAATTTTCCTGATTGTTTCAAAACACACATGTGAGGTGTTCTCAATGATGACACACTGTGTCTCTGAGCTGTTCATTACCCATCATCAAAACTCTAATGTGTCTTATTTTTGTGGATTCTTTTTGTTGAAAGGGAGGGAAAGAAGAGAGAAAGGAGGGGAGAGAAAGAGAGATGTCAGAGTCTCGTGTATTCCAGGCTGACTTAAAACCTTCTGTGTAATAGAAGGTGACCTTGAACTTCAGTTCCTCCTGCCTCCATTTCCCTAGTGTTTGGAGTGCCGGTGTTTGCTTTCCTGGCACTGCCTGGCAGCCAGGCCTTCAAGTGTATCAGGCAATTGTAGTGCAAACTGAGATACTCTCCCCCCCCCCCCCCCCCGCTGAGGATTTTTAGTAGAAGGGCTTTTCTCTGTTGTTTTGGGTTGTTTGTCCTTACTTTCAGGGTTACCGACATTTTTGAGGTTTGGTTTGTTTGTTTTTCTATCTAGAAATTCGCTAAATTTTGTTATTGAATTTCCTAACATTTCTCTCGCGATAACTTTCCCACTGATCTTCAGAGCCATTTCTGCCAACAGCATAGACGCTGCTCTGCACTTTATCAAAGCAATCTCACTTGGGTCTTCAGCGTTGAAGGCACATCTGGCTGTGGCCACCACAGACTGCACTGATGCTTCCACCATTTGCCTTCTGTTCATTAAGAGTGGACAAGTCCAGCTCCTTCTGTCCCCACCATCATCAGGAAATTAGTTTAGGTTTCAGCCCTCCCACAGCCAGGCTTAGTTAAGCACGGGCTTCCTTGAATAGCTTGCTTTTTGTTGTTGTTTTGTTTTATTTTGTTTTGTTTTCTATAAAGACTCTAGAATCATGATGTTCCTAGCATTCTGGGAATCCCAGAGTTCATAACTATGTCTGTTTCTAAGGTTATTTCCAACCGTTGTGGAGGACAAACTACAGGCAACCAAAGTTTGGCTGCAGTGACCCACCCTAGCTTCCTGGTCACACCTTTTAGAACATGATCAGTTGTTTCCTTGGTGTATCTTCAAACAGTCTCGATGGGTAAGAGCTTCCCATGGCTGCCTTCCATTCACTTGCCCAAGAAAGGAAGATTCAACAGAATCCTGCCTCTTACTTAGTTTCGGCTGTGCAATCTGCTTTGGAAGTGCCACCTACGATATCGAAAGTTCCGTCGTAAACAGCGTCTACACTCAGTCTCAGAGATGGCAACCCTTCTGTCACAGCTAAGCAGAGACTCCTGGCTTTCTAACCAACTCAGGCAAGTGGAGTGCGTGCCCCTACATTATCTCAGTGCAGGAATAGACTTAAGGTAGATGGACCCTGGAAAAACACTATGTGTATACCACTACCTTGAAAGGAAAACAAAAGTTTTACATGGGAACGTATAAGTGATTGCTCTATGGGTTTTTAAAGAGGAAGAGAAGAAAGATGCCCGCAGTTGCTCACCCCTCTGTCAGTGCCCATGAGAATTCTTTACTGTGAATGAAGAAAGGCAAAAATCCCATGCCAGCTGCATTCTAGTCTGCTGGTCCCTTGCCACGGAATCCCACGAAGGAAATGAATCCCTTTCTGCAGCTGTGTTCTTATTTCCTTTTGGAACTGGGACTCTGCCACATGGCTTTGTAAAAGTCACAGTGTCCCCAGGGCACCCGATTACCCTTGCTTAGAAAATAAAGGATCACAGTACCCGGGGAAAGGCGAGAATCAGAGGCTGGGAACCTCACAGGCGTCTCGTCCCAAGACCATTGCCAGCCCTGGACAGCCCCTTACTCTTGAGAGAAGTTTTGAAAGATTTAAAGAACGTGTTCCCAGGAGAGGGCTCTGTCTGCCTGACTCAGAGAGGAGCTAAACCAGGACACACCCTGAGAATGAGCTTCTCATTTATTGTCATTTTAACAAGCTGGGGATCATTTTTTTTCAAGTGATAGAGTCCTAAAATGGCATTTGTCACCTTCAGGAATAGGGGTGGTTCAAAGGACAAGGTAGTCTCTTTACTCCATGGCCCCGCCTTTTCAGTCCCTTTCCCCCTCTATGTCACCAACGGTAGTGGCAATTCTCCTGCTCTCTCCCTTCCTCTTAGCCATTTCTTGCCTCAAAGGACAACTCAATAAATTTGATCGGTTGCTTACCATGTTATAAACTGTTCTGTTTCCGTTGTACACGGCTGTTATATCAGGACTGGTCTGCTTAAAAATAAATCGGAACTTCCTTTACAGGAAATTTTGTGTGTGTTAGGCATGCTGAGGTCTACGTAGGGATCTTATTCTGCTTTATTTAATTTTTGAGACAGGATCTCCTATAGCTTAGCCTGTATATAGCTGGTAATGACCTTGAACCCCTGATTCTTCTACCCCTAATTTCCAAGTCCTAGGACTGTAGGCACACAGTCTATTCAAGGCTCTTTGTACATCTCATTAGACAGCCCCGATACACCTGGTCACCAGAAACATGGAAAGGGGCCCTCTTTTCTTCATACATTTGCTAACAGTGATTTGGTATGGACTCTTATAAATAAATAACTAATGTAGTAGACAAAAAAGTGACTAAAATATTTTGAGTGTTCACAGGTGCCTTCTCAGGAAAAAATATTAACTTCTGTAGTAAATACTTGTTGTTATTTTTTAAAATTATCTATCACTTTCTCTCTGCCAGGTGTTTTTGTGGGGAAAAGAACTTGGTACACTCATTTACAGCGACTTACCAGATGTTTTTATTTAATAACTGTTACTGTGATTTTAATCTTTAGATCTTGTTGTATAATCCGGGCTAGACTCAAAGTCATGATGAAATCTCCTTCCTCACCTTCCTTAGTTCTGGAATTGCAGCCGTGTGCCACCATACCAAGGGAAATTAACAGTTCTTAAACTCCACATTATTTCTTCATTATATCTTTTTAAGGCAAGCATGGTAGTGCAAGGCTTTAATCCCAGCACATAGGAGGCAGAGGCAAGCAGATCCCTGGGAATTGCTGATTAGCCTGCTCTACATAGCAAGTTCCATGTCAGCCAAAACTAATCGTGAGACTCTTTCTCAAAAGTTATGTATTTTTCTGTTTGACATTTATTTTTACCAACCCTTTTGTAGTGACATTTCAATTGTATTTTAATTAATAAAGACTGCCTGAAGATCTGAAAAGCAAAACAGCCAGCCGCTGGCTCTTACCTCGACCTCAGTCTGAAATGGCGATCCTGTCTCCTGGAATCTCAGAATGAGACTGTGTTGAGAGCTGTTTCCTTCCATTTTATAATCCTCTCTAGGACTGGGAATAAAGGCGTGCACCATTGTGATTAAAGGCATGCACCGCCTGGTTTCTCTGGCAACTAGTGTGGCTACTGGGATTAAAGGCGTGTGTTACCATAATCTGGTCTGTAAGGCTGACCAGTGGAACTGTTTTACTCTCAGATCTGCAGTCCTTATTAAAATGCAATTGAAACACCACCACACACCTTCTTTTTTTAAAAAAATTTGCGTACTTATTATGTTTACCGTTTTCTGCCTGCATATATGCCTGAAAAGCAGGCCAGAAGAGGGCGCCTGAATGCAGTACAGTTGGTTATGAGTCACCATGTGGTTGCTGAGAATTGGACTCATGACCTCTGGAAGAACAGCCAGTGCTCTGAGCCTCTGAGCCATCTCTCCAGCCCAATTCCTTACTTCCTGATGGAAAGTGGTTCTATTAGTCAAGAAATAAACTGTGAATTGAAATTGATTATCAGTTTTATTTCACAATTGATAAAACATTTCAAATAAAACAATTACAACTAAAAACATCTCCAGCTTTGGTTTTAACTTCACATTTCATACAATTCACAATATTTATAAAATACTCCTATTGGTCATTTTATAACTGGGGCTTAATTAGCAGGTGTTCTGCCAAATGAGCCAGAGGACTTCTGCTCTCATTTCCTTCCCTTGGGAGATGGGAACAGTTTTCATTCGTAGTTTAAATCATTGATAAAAACCATGCCTTCTTTTATCCTCATGTTAAACACTGAGGATGACACGCAACCTAAAATTAGCCTTGTTGCTCAGCTGGTGCTTTCGCACAGTCTCACCAGGGCTATGTTACAGCTTTTACATTTTCCTTAGTAAAAAAGTCAGCTGCCAATACATCGGCTCTCCTCACAGCTTGTTGTTTTGAGTGCTTTTTTTCCTTCCATCTTCTCTTTCGTATTTAATTACAGGGTATTTGGGTAGATAATTTGAAGAATAATTTCTCTCGGGGAACAATGCATAGTCCCAATTATATGAAACTCATAAAGATATTCTTTAGGGTATCTTTTACGCAAATAGTTATATTCTTGAGGTATGATCAGACACCACTAGCTGGCACCAGTGGGTATCAGCACAAACCCAAATCTACAGAAGAATAAACAACAACACAAGCTAAATATTTGATGGATCAGCTTCTGAATAATCTCCCAGTGAATTCCTATCCTTGGCGCAATGAAAGTCTCTGGTTCCCAGATTAAAGAAGCCTCTACCTCTTGATGTCTGATACAATGACCATTGGGCCTGGATTAGTCACCTTGTAAAGACTTTAGTGGAGGGGAGACAGAATTCATAGAGCATCACCCGGGGCATGGTACCTGGGGGCTGAGGTGACCAGGAGGAACTGCTTTTCAGAGAGGCAGCATGTTTCCACTGTGGACTGTCTCTCTCTCTCTCTGTAGAACAATCTTTATTTGACCAGAGAATTAAGAGGGAAGTTCCCCCTTAGAGCAGTGGTCCTCAAGCTTCCTAACAGCACTGTGACCCTTTTATACAGTTCTTCATGCTACAAAATTATTTTTGTTGCTACTTCATAACTGTAATTTTGCTACTGTCATGAATTATAGTGTAAATATCTGTGGTTTTGGATGGTCTTATGCAGTAACTGTAAAAGGGCCATTTGACCCCCAAAAGAGTCATGACCCACAGGCTAGGCTTCCCACACCACACTACTCTAGATAAAGTGCTTTCTTAGCCACGAGATTCAATTCCAAGAAAGAAAAACATAATTTGATGTGAAATAAAAACTTCTGCTTAGGACAAAAGAATTGGAGGTGCTGTTGCTTTGGTAATAACTACAATGACCATGTTAAATCCTCATGTTATTAAGTCCAGGAACTACAAAATGAGTCCGTCTTGGGGAAAAAAAAAAACCAGTGAAATGTCCAAACTGAACCATCTTACAACACCAGTGGGGCTTAGCTATTTTGCTGGATTCTCATTCATAACTGAGTAGAATCACGGGATTTTGTACACACATCACGAGAGCTTCAAGATCTCTAAGATCCTTAGGATGCTACTGAGTCACTCACTACTCAGAGAATAACATTAAAGTTCCTTCATTTAGTGACTTTTGTCTGTCGGCAGTCACGCGGGAAAGTGAAGGGGGACTGCAACCCGGAACAACAAACATCTAAAGTCTTTTTAACCAAAAACATATAAATATGTATGATTTGTATGTTAGAATCTTTAATCAGTATCTTTAACTCAGTGCCTCACACTCAATTCAAAATACATAAATATAGAACTTTTTGAGAAAAAAATACTTTTATGGGACATCAGCGAGAAAACTGTGTTTAAAAGAAGCTTTGCCTTACAGGGTAATGTTCAGCTTTCACAAACTACCAACTTAGGAAATCAATCATTAGTGCCATGACCTCAAAAATTCTGTTTACCCTATATATCGTTTCCTTTCTAAAAGAGACAAAATTTAAAAAAAAAAAAAGAATTAAAAACAACTAACGTCCAGACTCAGGAATCGGGAAATGCCTTGATGATGGACTCATAGGCCGGCGGGGGCGGTGTGGAAAGGCCCATCCGCAGGCTGTTGCTGGACCAGCGGAAGTCTGGCCTGCTCGGACTGTGCAGGGTGCTGATGGCGGATGGAGCGGTGGAGGCAGGCAGGGTCATCAGCTGACTCTCGGTTTCCACCGGAAGCGGTGGGCATTGCAGGAAGGGATGGAAAGTTGAAGCCCTGAAGCTCGATTTCCTGGGGAAGGAGTTGGCCAGCTCCAGAGACGCTTGTCTCTGGAAGGTGAGACTGGCCAGGCTGAGGTTGCTGCGGCGCTCACAGCCACTGTGGCGGTAGAATCCAGTTCTGTTGAGGCCATGGCTGTAGGAAGACCTGGGTCGCCTGGTGGGACTCCACTGGGAGATGGGCGCACTGGCTCTTCTTCTGCGAGACAGGAACACGAAAAGCGCCCAGAGAAATCCTCCGATGGCAAGTCCAATCGCCACGGATACAGTGAAGGACATTATTAGGTCCTCTGAAACAAAGAATAGTCAGTAAACCAGTAACTCTAATTTCAAAGGCAATTCATTTAAAAACACAGGGCAGAACATGAACTGTAATTCACAGAATGGGTTCTGAATTTTAACATGCTTTGAATTAGGGAAATGGAGAACGATCAGGGCTCCACTTACTTAAACAGAAAGCTATGAAAAACACTTTGCTCGTGTTTATCATCTTTAGAAATTAAAGTCTCACTGAAGCTCGACTTTAACTTAGTAATTTTTCTTACAGAACCGCAAATGTCCACAGCTCATTTCCTTTGGAATTACGATTAGAGCTAATGCGCCCGTTGGGAAAGGAGGCCGTCACAGCGATGATGATAATGCTTCCCCCTGTCTGCTTTGCTCTGTCACACTGATATCTCCCACCTGCAGTCTTATGGCACCTCACTTCCTGCACTCTGTCAGAGGCAGGAAGTTCAGGGGCAGAACCATCTGCAGGGCTGACTGATTTATGCCATTTTTCCTAAACACCCAGACTCTCGGATCTCTGACTCCACGATGACAAAGCCTATGCAGACAGATGCCTGGGCTCTTTCTTCTTCCTCGGGTTCCAGCTCATACTTCTCTCGTGTCTGTTTTGTGACAATAAAACCCCACCTTCCGAATCTCCACAAACTTTCCAAAGCATACTAGCTCCAATTCACCGAGCTTGGATTTGCTCTGATTTCTTCTGCAGGCAAATACATATATGTACATATCAGCTCATTCCCTCAATGCGGGTGCTACCTGGATGCCCTTTAGAAACTGAAAGCATTTTCTTCATGAATTTATTGGAGAAGCTGAGCCCTTACACTACATGAAAGACCTCTATATTGTTGAAACTCCTTCCAACTTACTGCTCAGAACCCTCTCCATCTGCCATTCCATGAGCCAACCCCAAACTGTGCTTTTTGCTTTCTATCTCAAAACCTGTGCTTTTTTTCCCCCCAATTTTCTGTGCATTCTCATATAATTTTCCTTATGTGTGGACATAAATTTCTGAGTCTGGGGAACTCATTTTTTAAAAACTATTCTAAGCACTGTCTTCCTCATACAAAAATGAGCTAATGTTAAGTCGAAAGTCAAGGCATATATTAAATTGCCTATACAAGAATTCTGCAGGTAAAGAGCTATAGACTAGAAATATGCATCTGAAGGTTTTACTACTGGGGTCATGGGCATGGGTTCTTTGTTTGTAATCCCGTTAGCAGGTAGAGTCTATTTCCATACTCTAAGAGTTCTCAGTGGGACTCACTTGACCAATGGGATGCAATGGAATTGAAACTTTGTAAGTTTGTGTCTAAATGGCAGTGACTTTCCACTTCCGCCCTGGTTGGTTTGGGGACTTCTTTATGGTGGACATAAGAATAAAGCCAAGCTAGTGTGGTGGCCAATGGAAGATACAGGGCTGTCCTGTGTATTATCCTTATGGCTCTGACCTAAAGCCTGCTATCCTTTTATGACAAAGGAATGAGTAGCTCTAGGTCATTCAGGTGCTGGCAAACCTCATCTGAAACGTGGGGCAAACCAAAGACCATCTTGTTGACCCCTGCTGAATTGTCAGCCCCAAATCATGAGCTAATTACCTGATTTTTTAAAACAAAATTCTGTTTTGAGTGCTTATTGATTAGCAAATGCTCATTGTTGTTAAGGTCACACAATTGCAGACCCAGCCCTATTGAATAAATATTAGTGGGTTTATTTAATCTCACTGATTTCTTTTTTTAAAAGGTGGGGGGGGGAACTAGATTTTGTAATGTCAAGCCCTTTTCCAGATTCTTGCTGTAGCATATAGAGAATCGAGAATACAGAAACAAAACAAAACAAATAAAGGTTAATAAATGCATAAGCACAATCACTACTAACTACCTAACTTTAGGATTTATGTTATTGTGTCCCTTTGCCTCCTATTGCCACAGGGGTGTCCCGAGGCAAAGCTGTCTTTGTTGTTATTGCAGCTCTCTTTACATATACTTATATCAAAGTTTTCCAAAACATTTACATAAACCATAAACTAAGTTCTTTCTGAGATGGCTTTTGAAGTCTAAGATAATTTAGGGCAAAGTTACTGACCCCAGTACCGTTGTTCCGAAATCTGCCTCACAAAAATAAGAAGTCACGGCGTCAAAATTCAGTGTTCTCAGAGATTTCATAGAGTCAGATATTATTTAAAAAAATCAAATAAGCATAATTGAACCTAAAAATTTTGTCTTACATTTGTATAACATGATTCACACCTAACTTTAACAATGCCCCCAAATCTAAAACTCTGATTATAAAGAAGTTTCAGAAATTTGGATGCTAAACATCCTCCCTTACTGTTCCTTCCAGCTCGAAGGTCCTACAGCTGACCGTCATTCTCAGATATCACGATCACAACCTCAACACTGTAAATGGTGCGAACATTTGGTAGAGGCCACCATCTAGTGGGCCACTGTTGAATTGTTGCAGTGTCCCAACGTGATTTTCATAGCTGATTCTAAAATGGAACGCTGGTTAATACATCCAAAGCCCTACAGTTGAGGGACCCTTAGGCTCACCTCTTCCTGAAGTAGATCACCCATTCTCCACTTCCTAAAGTGTAGATGAGGGTGGTTTCAGAGATAGGAAGGTTGTGACAAAAGGGCTTTTGGGGTGATAGACTCCAGCGCACAGAAACGAGAATGGTCACAATTCGCAGATGACGTAATGGATAAAAGTTTCTATGTGGATCACATCTGAGAAATTCCCCTGGGCTTAACAGAACGGGGTTCAGCCTCCCCCCGTCTATGCTGCTGCTCTTCCAATGCCACCACAGGCGGCAGGAGATTGCAGCTTTTCCAGCTGGGCTTCATGCTTCTCACCTTGGCAGCCTCGACCATGTATCCAGCTGCCCTCTCTTTTCAATCATGCAGTAAGTTCAGCCACATTGCACATTTGTTCCAATCCCCCGCCATGCTTAGAGCGAAAGCAAACTCCTAAATGTGGTCTAAGGTCTCCTACCTGAGAGCTGCTGCCCCCATGAGCTGAGCTCACCGTCTGATTCCTCTCTCTTGTTCCTCACCAAATATGCTTCTGATCAAGGGCTCATGCCTGGTTCTGATTTGTTCTTTCAAAAAATATGTTTGTAGATATCTACATGGTTATTATTTTCTCTTTTGTTTTCTTCCTATTTTTTTTTAGGTATTACCCAACTTTATGCTGAGGTCTCCTCATCCCAAAATTACGTCCTGACCCACTTCTTACACCCAGTTTGATCTCCCTCCCCACTACAGGAAATGGTTCAGTTCCTACTCCTGAAAAATAAGAAAACCAGATGTCTATACATGACAAGCTATAACTGTTCTCAGATTTGAAAAGAGGGAAGCTGACTTCTGTCTTTAATGGTAAAAAGGAATTACTAAAGGCAATAATACTAGCACTGACACTTTGAATAGCATGGTGGACAAACAAACACAGGCTTGGGAAATCTGGGTGTGGCTTTGTCTAATAGTACTTGACCACAATTCTCAGGACATGAAATCAACCTGAATGTCCACTGCCAGAAGAATAAGTTGAGGAAACGAAACCTGCAGAGTCCCGAGTAACATAATGATGGCTTGGTGCCTTGCTGTCACCTTTATGACAATGGTTTCAAAAGACAATGTCACCAAGCACTGTAAAAGACATCTTGACTTGTGTGTGTGTGTGTGTGTGTGTGTGTGTGTGTGTGTGTGTGCAGTCTGTAATGTTTGTGTGGCAAAAATTTCAAACAATGCAATTCTCAAAACTAGCCTTTGTTATTTAGCAGCGTCTGAATAGGAATGAATAGTGTATAATAATGGAGGTGCATTACTGAACCTCAAAAGAACAAAGAAAGGAAATTCTGCAATTTAAAACAATATAGAAGAATCTGAAAGGCAGTATAGGAAGTGAAATAAGGGAGACCCAGAATGGATAAGTCTTTACTGTAGAATTCTTCAAACGTTTTTGTCCAGTGAACATTTTCATAATAAAGTGTTGAGAAGACAAGTCAACACAGTATAGATGACTTATACAAGGTATATTTGAAAATATAATTCAAATGGCAAATTCTTAGAAAACTAAAAAATAAGAGTCAGAAAAATCTGAGCGGCTTTCTGATGTCTAAAGAAAAAATGGAATGTGGCGCTGGAGGGATGACTTAGCGGTTCACTGTTCTCGACGAGGTCCTCAGTTTGGTTTCCTGCACCCACACACCCACATTGGCTGCTCACAACCACCTGTAACTCCAACTCTGGGGGATCTGATACCTCTGAACTCCAGGGGCAACATTACTTATGTGGGTACCTATCTCCATACACACACACACACACACACACACACACACACACACACACACACACACTTAAAAAAAATTTTTAAATGAATGTGTTATTTTCAAACTCCCAGCTAGAACTATCATATGTAATGCCACAAATGCTGACTATTTTAGATGATAAATAACCACCAACTCAATTTTACATAAACTCTTCCAGATATTTCAAAATTAATAAATACTTTTTGCTTGTTTTACAAGGCTTTTATGACATTAATATCCAAATCCAACTTAATTTTAATAAAAACAGACAGCTGTCACGATTTCAGTGCAGAAGTCTGGAGACAAGGGATGCACAGAGAAGTACATACAACTTTGAGAGCTCCAGTTCAATAATAACCCCAGTTCTGTGGAACCCAGTGAGAGATGCGATCTCTTGAATCTCCCTTGGAATCCAGACACATCTGTCTTAAGAATCTACATTTGTAAACACTTGTTCTTCAAAGTTTCTAAATAACAGACAAATGGAAATAATTACAAGGCTATTCATATGTCATGATGCATAACCATTGAAGAAATTTTTTATATTCAGCTGAAGAAGTGAGCTTGAGAAATGGACAATGTTTGCTTGCTGTTTTGAGAGCACATTATGGAGACCCATGAACTGCCCATGCCTGCTCCACCACCGTCCCAAGGCCCTGTGAACATATTATCTCATCTGCTTTCTAGACCCCTAAAAACCACATCTTTTCTACAGACTAGGGCACCTAGTCTTTTGCTATGGGTTGAGGCATAACATTTTTTACAGACTGAGTAATCTTCACTAAGGATCCTACTACTTGGCAGCCCTAGATTCCCAACAAATCAGTTTGTAACCCTCCAATACCCCAGCGTGGGTTAAGGCGATAGGCAAGAATGCACGGGAGTAGGTTTTCTATTCCTACACTGTCAAATGAACCATTAAACACGGATACTAGAGCATCATTTTTGAAAGTCAGCACTGTATTACAATAACAAGGTGCTTTATAACTGAGACGGTGTTTGTGGTTTGTTTCTTTTTCTGTTCAGCTTCAAAACCCTAGAAGTCTGAAGAACTCAAAAATATTAGTGTTTTCCAGAAACAGTAGCAGGAAAGAGAATGAGTCACCATGAGCAATGTAAAGAGAAGTTTGGGAGAGAGAAGACAAGAGTTTTACGGTGTATGAGCAATGAGGGCTCTGGAAAATGAGGCCATTCCTCCATTTCTCCATGCTTTAGGGAATCCCAGTAGCTGGTACCCACTCCTAGATTCCTGGCTGACGTAGGTAGAGAGGTTCAAAGCCCCCCATGAGAAACACTGGGTGTCGGAAGGACAGAACAAGAGTCAGGCTCCTGAAGTTCCAGGGTTGTAGGAGACTGTGAATGATGCTCTATGCACTGAGAGAAACCAGAAGGCAATGGGATGAGAGTCAGTCAACCGATCAGAAAGTCTGACAAGAAAGAAGAATCTCGTTCTGAGCCAGAAGTGCACAGATCACAAGAACCTGGCTTTGCATTTCAATGAAGGCGGGGAGGGAAACACATCCCCAGAGCCGAGGAGGCACACTTGTCAGTAGATGTCAGCAGAGGGCCTTGATAAGAACTCCTGGTCCACTCGCTCTTGTACCAGAAGCAGCCATCATCCTCAGACCTCACAAGCTATTTCCAACCTTACAGAGAAACCCAAAGAAGGTGGAGGTGAGGAGCCTTAGAGTCACCCCTGAACAAGAGGGGCTGTCATAGTAACACGAACTTCTGCATTGCTATTCAGGTTCTTACAGACGTCTGCTTCCGTTCTGTTCTCCAAGAACAGAATTTCTTGTTCCTGGAATTTCCACATACGAATGCTCCGTCCGCCGTTTGTTTCTTTGCAAACAAATCCTAGTGTTTTAGCTTCACACATTTGCTGATAACAGCTCTCCCACGTGCCCCCAAAATTCTCAGACAACGTCTTGCCTGTATCATCTTGATATGTTTCCTAATAAATGCAGTCAAAGCCCCAGAGTTTATGTATGAACTGAAGAAGGCTGAGTTAACATATCAGAAATGAATGACCAGACTGTTATCCTTGGAATTATCTTTTTATTTGGAACTTATTTGGTTTTCTAGGAGTAGGTAATATTCCACTTTTTTCTAAAAATGATTCAGGGACCATTTCATATTTTAATTTCTATGGCATATTTTCATTCTTCGTCATTTTGTCATAATATAATGACAATATATAAAAAACAGAAGTTATTGATACTATTTATTGATTTAGTTATAGGCTTCTACTTGTTTATGTAGAAACACCTAATCACCTCCCTGAATGCAATCCTTTTTAAATTATTTTTTATTGATTTTTACTGAGCTCTACATTTTTCTCTCCTGAATGCAATCCTTTTAAGGGAGAGATCATATTTTGGGGGAGGGTGATTAGATGAGTAAGTGCAAGCCCGTACATCAATACACCGCCTCAGGTTTTCAGAGCGCTGGCCAAGGGGAGAGAAAAGCAGCAACAAAGGCCCAGTGAGAGGGCAGCAGAGCAGAACAGAAGTCATGTGGAGACTCCCCAGTACCAAGAGAACGCTTGAGCCACACATCGTCATCAGCCCAATGGAATCTGAGGGTCTCTGGTCCCGGCTGCCTTTACGGGACGGGTTATAGAGAAGGGATGTGCATTACACTGAGCAGAGGGGGAATGCAAGGTGGGGCCGCCTGCGGTGCCAGTCTCAGGCCTCTCTTGCTTCTGGCTAACGTCAAGGGCTTTAGGGCTTGCACGACTTTCAGTAGCTTTGACTGAGTGATAGCATTGAACAAACGCAGCCATCCTTGTGTTGCAGCGGAATAGCATTATCTATTCTTTCATTCCTTAAGTAAACAAGAAAGTTATTTGGGGTTTTTCTGCTTTTCAGTATGTTAAGTTTAAGAAGTTCCTATGGCTCCTTGTGTGAGTTGTTGAGGCTATGACATTTCTTACTTATTCTCTTAACTCACAGGGCTACACAAAAGAGTACTTTTGGAGACAGAAGCTGGATTCCACCGCACTGTGCATGATCTTCAGGTTAATATTTTAAGGGGACCGGTGATCAAAATAGATATCAATTCAGACGCAAAGCAGAAATGAAAATAGGAAAGACTGACATTTATATATCACAAAATCTTTACATTTCATGCACTAAATTTATAATTACATTTTATATTTTGACCGCAGATATAATAATGCAATCTTTCACCTCTTTCACCCAAAGCATCAAACATATTTTTGGTTCACCACTTTTGCTTTGGTTTAAAAGGATTTAAGATGACAACAGCCTCTTGGTTTTCCCCATTCTCATTTATCCTGCACCGTATCTCCGTGCCAAGAGAAGGGAGCATTAATACCTATTATTGACATAGGAATCGCGAAATCCCTGTTAAGCACAGATTTCCTTAGTAAGACTCTAAATGCTAGGATAAAGGAATAGACCACATATGAACATCTTATTGGTGTTAAGATTTATTTTAGTGAAAATCACCTGTGCTCTAACCAATGAGCAATGAATTATTTTTCCTATATAAATGTAGAGTCAACTTGAATGACTTGTAAAGACAGAACTGGCTCTTCTGCGTTAATTTTTACTCTTGTAATGATCTATGGAATAATTTATTATTTATTGATGAGTTTACTTAGATGCCCTCTAGCTGGTTTTCAGCACTTAATATAAGTGAGGACAGTAAGTATAATTTCCACAAATGTAACATTAGACCATCCAGAATTCAAAGGTTTCTTGTCTCTTGATGTCTACCTAGAATTTGCAGGAGTAACTTATTTTTCAGTAATTTTACTATGCGACTTTATTACTACAGTGTCATCAAATCTCGTAAAGCTTGAAGCAAGCACTTTAATTAATAAAAATAATAAGTTAATTCCCTTCATGCCAATACCCATGGTCAGAGATAAATAAGTCAGATTATCAGGGCCAGATTGCTGTCACTGCTCAGCATTTACCAAATAGTTTCCAAAGCCCTAGCTCCAATCACAGCAGGTAGCTTGATACAGTTTTCCGAGATGATTAAAAATGTGTCTTGCACATGATAGGGTTATACAGCTCTCAATCAACTCCAGAGTTCCTTTAAAGGTACTTCTGGATTTAACTTAAATTATTCCCTTTACTTTTCAATTTCCCTCCACAGAGACATGACAATGTCATTGCACATCCCAGCTCTTGTATCGTAAATCTGGCCGGGAGTGGGTGGTGGTTTTGACCTCAGCATCTTCCTGCTCCTGGTTAGCATCACTGCACATTCAATCTTGAGCTCAGGTTAGCCTCTGCCAGAGCCCGCTTTGGTATTGTTTCTCTCCCTTTTGTGACAGGCTTCCATTGTAACCATGTTGTTATTACTGCATCTTCTTTTCTAGGTTCATAATTTCACATTTTATCTTTGTCACTATTTCCAAGAGTCGTTCAAACATGTTGCTTAAATTGACTTTGAAAATTAAAAAGAGTAACATGGACAAAAACACAGACTTCAAAACCCTCTGTGGAACACCTTGGTTTCATGAAATAAAATATATAATCTTTCAGCTTCAGACGAATAAAACATAATTTTCCAAAAAATCCCCTGTGTTATATTCCGTTTAACAAGGACTTCTACTTTGTATTTCTTTTTCTAAATGTCCACATCTCTTGATTTCTAATTAAGTTTTGTTAATACCAACCAAACTTTCTGTCAGATCCTACTTTAATATTCCTGTAGCTTATTCTGAAAACATTTTTATGAGTATATTTCTTGAACTATATCTATGAAAATGGTCACTAGACATTTATGGCAAGCAAACTGCCCCAGAAATTTCCAACATTGTAACAAAATATGCAGAAAATATCTGTGCATCTTAATTTAAATAAAAAGTGGTGAAGGAAAGGTAGCTTACCCCAAAAGTTTTCTGGCCACGGGCTCCCTAAACTCGTTGTGTTATTGGCCATAATGTCCACAAGAAAAAGAAGAAGCCAGCGTGTCCAAAACAAGCAGTTTGAGCCTATGCCTTTGTGGCTCAGCAAGAGAAAGCTAATTTTCACGCAACACCCCACATATACTTGTGTTTACATAGAAGGAAGCAAGTGTATCGTGTTTCCTGCTTTTCTACTCGAATTAGCAACTGTTTTTCTTATCTTGGAATTCCACATGGCTCCCAGACACAAAACTATTTCCTTCTCGTCATTTCCTCCCTCGTTACTAAGTGCCCTCCTTTCAGCCACATCCAGAGCTGTTTGGGAACAAGAGGCTTTTTCTTGAGTCCCATCTTTCATTTCCACACAGAGGAAGAGAGCAAGATCTCCACACACCACTTAACGCCATCTGTGTGACACTGAGCAATAGACGGCTTTCTGATATTTAAAGCCCATATTCATTTACATTTTTAACTAACGTCCTTTATTTATAAATCTCAGATATTAAAAGTCCTAGGTAGCCTCTTCCTGTATTTGGTATATTGATTTTGAAAACGTATTCACTCCGTTCATTCATGCATATTTAAATATATTTATTTGTGATTTTGTTATCACTTTCACTGGGATTCCAGTGGTGAGAAAACAAGATCATGTCTATGGGACCCGATAAGGGGAAGAGGAAAGAAAAACGTTCAGTGTTTTCATGTCTGGCCAGAGCTGCAACCATCCCATGCCTGGAAAATTATAGTTAATGTCCTTCCTACCCTCACAGCACGGCAGTCCTCTGCATCGGGAGACACGGAAAGTGGGAAAAGAGGTGCTAAATGTCACTTAAACTTAAATGTACTGAAGTGCATCCCTAGATTGAAAACCTGTAGCATGCGCTCTTGAGAACTCTCACAGGAGCCCTGGGATGTTGGGATGTGGTGAGCTGGAGGAGCTGTCAGCCTTCTGAAGTCTGTGACACAGCCCCGAGAACGCCGGGAAAGACTAAAGGGCAAAGTGACAACTCATTTTACAGCCCAATTCTCCAAAATTGTGATGGTTTCTGCTCATTTTTTTTTATCAATTTTCATAGATTTAAGTTAACTATAAATTTACCAGAGATAAAAATGTACACAACTGATGACCTCAAAGAGAGTGAAACAGTTGAAGAGAACTGGAGAACCCACTGAACAAACTTTATGATATTTCTATCATATGATATTTTTGCCAATGTTTATTTCCACACTTTCTCATAAATAACCACACCAATGCTCAAGAAAGGCAAAAGGCCCCACATTTTAACAGTCCTCTTTAATTTCTAATATTATTGACAAGGTGTGTACAAATTGGAACTTGAAAGAACTTGCTGTGTCTAGATACAAGTATATTGAAATACACCCCATCTTTCTAAGCATAAAACAGTACTCTTCATGGCTGTATGTACTTTAAATGTGTGTTTTATGTAACCAATGGCTACTTATTGTCAAATAAATTCTACTCAAGTATTCCTAACTTTTATCTGATCTATTCAGACTGATTTGGGGGTGGTGGTGGAAGGGAGGACTCCCGCTTTGTCTGTGTAGGAACAGGACTTATTCTGTCTCAGGGTTGGGATAGAAGCCGAGACTTCCTGCCATTGTTCATGTTTTAGTTATCCAGATTTTCTGCCAATACATTTTCATTTTTGCAGATGGTCAGAACCCAGAAGAAAACTTGTTTTCTGTCCCTTTGTGACCTAGGGATTCATTTCTCTTGTGTTGAAAGCTTGTTGGTCGCTTCAGCTCTTATCTGTGCATATAATTCATGTGGTAAAGATTCATACTTTTCTCTGGCACAGATCCACACACATGACTGTTTGTGTCTGTGTGATTTTCAGGTCCCATGACTTATCCTGCCATAACAGGAAGGGGATTTTTTTTCTTTACAAAAATGTCAGGTTGGCTTTCAGCTGTTCACTGTTTTACAGCTAGGGTGTTGTGCCTGTAGCTCTCCGTTCGAGTTATCTCACTTCAGACATCCCAGGAATCACCTGCTGCTGTCAGCCAGGCTTCTACCAGAAGTCAGTGCTAGGTTCTTGCCCCTGACCCTCCGTGACTGTTTTATTCAGGACACTTCACATCGTGTGCCTTTAAGCTGTATGTCTTAGTCAGTGTTCTATTGTTATGAAGAGACACCATGGCCATGGCAACTCTTTAAAGGAAAGCATTTAATTGGGACTAGTGTAGAGTTTCAGAGGTTTAGTCCATTATCATAGTGGGGAACATGTCAGAATGCAGGGAGACACGGTGCTGGAGAAGTAGCTGAGAGTTCTCTATCCAGATCCACAGGCAGGAGGAAGAGAGAGATACTGGGACTGCCTTTGGCATTGGAAGCCTCAAAGCCCACCTCCAATGACTTGCTTCTTCCAACAAGGCCCCACCTATCCAATGAGGCCACACCTCCTAATTCTTTCCAAGTCATACCACTCCTTAATGAGCAACCATTGAAATCTGTGAGTATAAACAGAGACTGCACTTTTGTTTCCCAGCTGCCAGACCCGAATAATCACACAGAAACTATATTAATTATAACACCGTTTGTCCAATGGCTCAGGCATATTCCTAGCTAGCTCTTACATCTCAAATTAACCCATTTCTATTAACCTATATATTGTGACCCTAGTCTATATGGATGCACAGCTTCCTAGGCCTGGATGTAGGAGGGAGGGCCTTGGACTTCCCACAGGGCAGGGTTCCCTGTCCTTTCTCAAGCAGGGAGGGGGAGGGAAGAGAGTGAGTGGGGGAGCGGGAGGGAATTGGGAGGAGTGGAGGAAAAAAAGTCTCACTTCCTGAGTGATCACATCATGAGATGCCATCTGCCTCAGGTGCTCTCCAGAGCCCAGCTGAGGCAGGTTTGTGGCCTTCAATCTCCAGAAGCGTGGAGCTGAAAAAACTTATTTATAATATGTTCTGGCTTAGATGCGTTGTTATAGCAACACAGAATGGATCAGTTGAGAAAATGTATTAATCTTGATATTCATTTCTAGCTCTACTGGCTAAAATAACAACAGCAGCACAGTAGAACTTTAGTACATAATTGTTAAATAAGAGAGCATAATAATCTGAGGATATCTAACATGGAAATACTTCAGAAATGCCTAGTCAGGTTAGTAAATAAGTCACCTAATGCTACTAAATAGAAATTGTTAAGCTCTGTTCATAGACTTCAGTATTTAAAAAATTTGATAGAACTTGATAGGAAAGAGCATTGTTGCATTTAAGAGAAGAGGCACGACTTTCATATTTCAGACCTACCATGGGTTTCACGAGTTTCACATTAACTGACCCAGACAAAGCGTCTGAGCTGAGTGTGGTCTTAGAACATAAGAGAACCACTTCTAAAAGAAAAAAAAAAAAAGGTCTAAATCTGTTTTAAGAACGTCAAGTTTCTAAAAACAGTAATCTGAGGGCTAAAGTGAACTGGATATACACTGTGGCTTCCCTCTTTAGACGCCTGAAAGTCCGTCTTCTTTCTCTTTAAACTTCCTCAGTCTGGTGGGGATGCAAAGTTAGGAAAGATCAAACTATCAAAATCAGATCACTTAAGTAGAAACTCGTCTGCTGGGTAAGACGAGTTTACAGAATGCAGTGGGGAAGAATGAGCTCCTTCCTATGTTACATTTCACAGCGTATTTGTCTTGTGAGGGCCTGGGTGGGGCCATGGAGAGAACAGATTGAAGCATGGCATCGGGCATAAAGCTGAACTGTAGGAAGCTGCTCTGTCTCGACTTCAGGAGCTGGTACCGCTGAGTCAGATCCCACAGACCTCTGCTGAGTCACGTCTTCTGTCAGGACAATTCTACCTCTCTCTTTATAATGTACATTCCCTTTATTTACTTTTCTGCTTCAATCACTCTGACTAGAATTTCTGGTATGATGTTGGCACCCTTGCCTTATTCCCAGTCTTAGAAGAAATCCATTCCCCAACCCAACCCCAATGGATTCTCATGCCTACGGAAGGATTTTAGATATGTACTTGGTTATGTTGAAGTCCCTTCTATGAGTATTTTGTTGAGAGTTTTTATTTATTTATTTATTTATTTATCAGAGTGGATGGTTATTGAATCTTGTTGGTTCTTCTGTAAATGTTAAGGTGACCTTGTGGCTTTTACATTTACTTCTGTTGAGATGACAGATCCCATTGAGTTCTTTTTCATAGGTTGAGCCATTACTGCATCTGCAGAATAAGTCTCTCCTGGTCACAGGTGTATAATCCATTCAGCATGCTCCAGGATTTGTTTGCTAGTATTTTGTTGAGGATTTTTGTATCCATATTAGTCAACATGAATCATGCGCTTGCAAGTTTCTTTTCTTTTTGGTGCTTTGGCCTTGATGGCAGAGAGATGCTGTCCTGGTGAAATGCATTTGTTTGCAGTTTGTCTCACAGTGCTAGGGACTGAAGCTAGGTTTGTTCTGGGCAAGTGTTCAACCATATTCATCATAAATGGACTTTGGGAAAGCTTATTATATTTTAGAGGAGAATTTAAGAAAGTTGGTAGTATTTTTTGAAAGTATAAATTCAATATATTAGCAAGGATATAAAAACCAACACGCAGACCCAGGCAGGTGAAAGATACCCACGGTCCACCTGGGTTCTCACAGTACAGACTGTCTGAGACCTCTATAGGCCCACCAGGCTCTGCAAGGTGCCATCATGATGGGAAAATACATGGTAAGAGAAAGAGAAACAGAACGGTTTATGTGGTGTGGAAAGAGGAGAAACTAAAGAAGCAAAGGTGGTGAGCAATAGGCTGAGGTGGTGGCCTGCTGGCCACAGCAGGCCAGGGTGACATCTGGGCCCGGGTTGCTGCCAAAGGCCATGTCTGGGTCCATAGTCCTACTGCAGCAGAGGTCTCTGTTAATATCCATGACCTGTGTTGCCCAGAGGAACACAGGAACCAAGCATATTGAAGTGTGAGGGCCATGCTCAGCTAGCCTGGCCCTTCACTGGCTCTGGGATAGCTGGCCCTGCCCCACAATGGACACTGCAGTAGGAGAACTGGACCCAGCCCTTATGGGAGAGATGGTCTCTGCCTTCTGGAAAGATGGCCCAACCCCTCACCATGGGTATGGGAGAGCTGGCCACGATGGTATAGGCATAGAAGCGTTGGTTCTGACCCTCACCTGAGGGAGGCGGTC